TGCTGAGGATCGAACCCGGGCCACACGCATTCCAGGCGAGCGCACTTGAGCCACATCCCCAGCCCTCTTTTGGACTCTTATAAATAATGTGTGAACGTGGGTGTGCACATCTTGGTGCGGATGCATGTTTTTGCTTCTTGTGGGCAAATGTTGAGGAGTGGGGTCGCTGGGCCACAAGGTCAGTAGAGGAGCTGTGCCAGCATGGCATAAGTTCTGCAGCCAGACTTGGTCACCTGAGTCTAGTCCACCTTTGAAGCTGGTCCCTGAGAGGGAACTTAGACTGGAGGGGCCTCAACAGAGGCTTGACTGTCCCAGCCCACAAAAGAAGCTTGACTGTCCCAGTCCACAAAAGGCCAGGGTGTCCACAGTAGATAGGCGGGTGTTGGGTGAGAGGCCCAACATCCAAGGGACTTCTGTTGAGAGAGGTTGGGGCTGTGGGCTTGCTGCAGGCACCAGGGAGGACTGGGTCCCAGCGGTGGTTAGAGGGGATGCAGCCTCCGACAAGGTGAGGGCTGGGTTCCAGTGCGGCAGGCATGGACTTGAACCTCCCTGGCTTCTGTCCAACTAGACCCCACTGAGGCCCAGGTTGTGCTTAGCTGTGGATGTGCTCTTCCTGCTTCCCACGTGAAAGACACTCAGCCTCACCTGCCTGCCCCACAGGGAGCTGGAGGAGCAGCATGGGATCCACTGCAACATGACACTGCTCTTCTCCTTCGCCCAGGCTGTGGCCTGTGCTGAGGCAGGTGTGACGCTCATCTCCCCCTTTGTGGGGCGCATCCTTGATTGGCACGTGGCAAACACAGACAAGAAGTCCTATGAGCCCCTGGAGGATCCTGGTGAGCTGCCTTTTGAGGTCATATGTGCGGGGGGTACATGTCAGTCAACAGTGAGCTGCCCGTGTGCCCCCAGAACAAGGTCAGAGATACAGTCAGGGCAGGGTGGGGGGACCGCGGCTCAGTGCTGCTGGAGCTGTCCTGGAACATGGCTAGGTCTCTTCCAGGGGTAAAGAGCGTCACCAAAATATTCAACTACTATAAGAAGTTTGGCTACAAGACCATCGTCATGGGTGCCTCCTTCCGCAACACGGGCGAGATCAAAGCACTGGCAGGCTGTGACTTCCTCACCATCTCACCCAAGCTCCTAGGGGAGCTGCTTAAGGACAGCACCAAAGTGGCACCTGTGCTCTCAGCCAAGACAGGTAGGGCCCTGGGCCCAGAGGAGGCCACAGGCTGCACTGCCCTGTCTCTACCCTGGTGATTCTGTGGACCCCTTGTCCAGGGACCATGCGGCACCAAGATGCAGGGAGTGAGGCTGGGCAGAGGGCTGTTCCCCTGATGTGGGTCAAGTTGTTGGCAGAACCCTGCAAACTGTCCCTTGCAGGGGACCAAGGGCTTTCTTGATGGTTACACCAGGCCTGGAGCCTTAGGCCAGCTGTGGGCCTGAGGGGCTGGGCCAGGCACAGAGGGCTGTGGTGTCTCCCCAGCCCAGGCTAGTGACTTGGAGAAGATACATCTGGACGAGAAGGCCTTCCGCTGGCTGCACAATGAGGACCAGATGGCTGTGGAGAAGCTCTCTGATGGGATCCGAAAGTTTGCTGCTGATGCTGTGAAGTTGGAGCGGATGCTGATGGTGAGTTCCACTTGGGCAGGGCAGTCTCCCCGGCTTGACCCCAGGAGACCAGGCCTGGGAGTCACTTGGATCAGGGCACAGTTGGAACTCTGGGGACCCTGGGTCCCATTCATCTGCCATGTGTTAATTGACCTATCTGCCCAGATCCTCCTGGAGCCTGGGAAGTTCTGGGGACTCTCTGGCCCAGCCCATATGTACAGTGGCCTTGGTGGGGGTGCCAAGGATTTACTGTGCAGTTCACTCTGTGCTCATTCCTAGGAACGAATGTTCAGCACAGAAAATGGCAAGTAGTAGCGTCTGAGGCTGGACCCCAGACCTGGGGCTGACTGCACGTGGCTTGTGATGAATCTTGCATTTTTTAAGCAATCGGAACAGCGATGGATCATAGGTTTCTGATTTTTTTTTTTTTTTTTTTTTTTGTAAAATTTGCCTACTGCATTAAAGCAATTGCTTTTCCTGTGCTGTGTGTCCCTTGTTCCTTCAGCACCAACTGCCGTTGACTATGACCTAGGAGATGGGGTTAAGGGCAAGATCCCTGATGACGGCAGTTGGGATAACCCAAACCGTCACAACACACGCCTAAACCAGTCAGGGTCACGCCAGGTGAACTGGGCTGGCATGAAACAGAGACAGAGAAATACTTTTTCTTTTGGGTTCTGTGACAGCTCCTTTAACCCAGCTCCCACAAAGGAGGCGGGGGTGGGGGGCGGGGGAGGAAAAGCCATTCAAATGAAGCAAGGGGTAGGATTACAAAGGAACAGGTGAGTTACTCAATCCCAGTGGTTATGCCTATACCTGAAGCCATGCCTTGCTATCCAAAGCTGGGACAAGGCCCAAGTCACTAATGTAACTGATCAGAGCCCTCCATGTCAGGACTTGAAGGTCATCTGAATGGGGCAGCTCCCAACACCAAGCAGTTGCATCTTCCCTCACTCAGAGCTGGTGGTTACAGGCCTTTAGCTTGGAAGTGGGCCTTGCCCTGGGGTGGTCGCAGCCAAACCTGAGGGCAGCACCAGGCACCAGCATGTCAGTGGGCTTTCTGCTCTGGGTCCAGGCTGCCCTGTCCTGAGCAGGTTCTAGTAAGGCTGGTGGTACCACTTATGGGAACAGCAACATGCACTGGTACCAGTGTCACCAACATGTGGAAAACCCAGGAAAGCAGAACATTTATATCAACCTTGGACGGCCCAAGCACCTAGACTCTAGGGCCAGAGCCTGGGGGAACAGTTGGCAAGGCCCCAGGGCTGGCCAGTAATCATGGAGTGCCTAGGCCCACATAAGGCCCCACCACTCCAAGGCAGCCACCACCTTTCCCCACCAAGCTTGAGCCTGCCTCTAGGGACGCCAAGGCAAGTAGGGGTGGCATTGCCTCATGCCTGTAGACACTCATGTCCAGCAGGTCCCTCGTACTCCCCAGCAGCACAACACACAGGCAAGGGCCAAAGCCTCTACTGCCCCCAGCTCTCTCTACACTGGCAATGTGCCTCCCAGTTGGAGAGCAACAGGGACTTCAGGGGACACCAGGCTGTGTGTAAGCTTTGCGCATGTCACCTGCAGACAGTGCTTACCATCCATGTGCCCTCAACACCATGAGATACCCACTCAGTTGTTTCTGGATGTTTCATGTAAACACTTACAGGCTTTGGTGACTGAGTGCTTTGTTGTACATTAGCCCCCCTTTTTGTTATGGTCAAACAGCTCACTGTGGATACCGTTGTTGACGGACACTAACAGAAGACACTGATGATATTCCATTGTTAAGCCACCATTTGTTGAGGGCCACAACCAAGTCAGGATAGCGCCTGGCACCTTGCCAGGAGGAGTGGTTTGTGAAGCAACGCCTGCGAGCCATTAAGATGATGGGGATCCCTTATTGGCTGACTGCTGTATCTAGATGATGTTTATTGAGTCAAGCTGTGTGTAATCAGGTATATATACCTCTGCTGTCCGGCAGAGAAGCGGCTCCTGCTATCCGGGTGCCCGCTACTTTGAGTTCTCGCTCAGTTCCTGCTGAGTTCACTCACAATAAAGCAGTTCCCGCTTCAACCTTCTTCAAGTTGCTTGTCACCTCTCGGTTATTTTGCCCAGCTGGACTTCGGCAACCATTTGTCCTTTATTTATTTCTTGTGATCCTAGAGATGGAACCCAGGGCCTCATGCAGGCCAGGCAAGTTAAGTGCTCATCACCAAGCCACACCCAGCCCTGTCTATTCTCAGTGATTAACACTGCCATGAACACCCATGTAACATTTTTATGTGGGCTGGTTGTTTTTCTTGGGTAGATGTACGAAGGCCTTGCAAACACTGGGCATGTAGGGAAAGCCTCATCCACTCAGTGGCCACTTTTTCTACCCCTTTGCGCTCCTCTTCCCCAGCCTGACACCCCACCCCCAGCCCCCAGAGGCTGGGCCCAGTCAGCACACCTTGCATCTTCAATTCCATGTACACCTGGATCTGCACATGAGCTCAGGTGTCAGCAGTGCTGTCTCCCCAGAACTCACAGAAACTTGACCCCAAGGCAACAGGGTTAGGAGGTGGGGCCTCTGGGAGGTAATGACGTTGAGGGTAGCGTGCCCATGAATGGGACCAGTGCCTTGCAGAGGGCCCCAACAAGCTCCCACTCTCCTGCCATGTGAGGGCAGCCAGAGGCCCCTCTGGAAGCCAGGAAGCCAGACACTGGATGGGCCACACTTGGACCCTGGACTTCCAGTCTCCAGGACCAGGAGATACATTTCTGTCCTCAAGAAGTCACTGGTTCTGTTTACTGTTACAGCAGCCTGAACAGACCAGGATGTCATCACCAGAGCTCAGGGCAGATGGTGGCGGCCCAAGGCCTGAAGTGGGGATCTGGAACAACTTCCCAGTGTGGGCTGGGGGGTCCTGGTGACCTGCTTCCTTCTGCACTTAGACAAGGGGCCTCCCACAGGTTCCTGGCAGTGGGAGCCTCCCTGGTGCCTGCTGTGGCAGGTCAGGGATGGGGCAGAGATCCAGGTGTAGGGCAAGAGGAACTGAGCTCTTCGGGAGCACCCACTGCAGGTCTCATGGGCTGCTCGCCAGATTCCCCCAGAGGACAGATGGCAAACAAGCTCTATCCAGGAGGAAGTGGTGGTGTACTGACCTGGCGTTGGGAGGCGAGACTCATGCCATTCCCCTACACAGAGCCCACCCATGGCCACTCCACCCAGGTGGAGCTTGTGGAAGGGCTGGGGGCTCAGCTGCCAGAGGCCAGAGACCAGAGGGCAGGCTTAGGGAAACAGCACTTGTTTCCCCCCGCCCCCCAGTACTGGAGACTGAACCCAGTGGCACTCTACCACCGACCTACACCCCCAAATCACCAACATCACTAGAAAAAGAAACCCACAGCAGCACGGAGTAAAAGAAGGCCAAGTTCTTCAGCATGACTCCTGGCAATTTCAACCAGTGTGGGAAACGTGGCTCCCAGAAAACGGTTCACGTTGGCCAGGGTCAGACACTGGAGGAAGCTCTGGCCTGCCAGCCCGGTTCTTAGCCTCTACCAACGGCTGAAGAGCAGGGCAGTGGCTGATCACAGGAGGCCCCTGTCCCTGGTCCCTTGCACTCAGCACCCTCCTGTGGGGGGTGAGCACTCTGAACTCCAACCAGTCCTCCCAGGGATGCAACCTGCAATTCTTGAGAACCACCCAGCAGCCAGCACAGTACCCATGGCACCCAAGGGCATCGTCCCCACAAGAGTTGACACCCTCAGGGCTGATTCCTGCAGGCATAACAGTCCCAGGAGCAGTGGGGTCCTCAGAGGACAGCAGAAGACACAGAGCAAGTCCAGCTGCTTTGGGGGATGCCCAGATGAATGCAAAGAGGCAGTGTCCACCTGCAGGCTTATTTCCTAGGGGACAGATGTGGTTGAGTCTTAGGTAGCTGTAGTGTACACCACAATAGTGTACACCACAACATGGCCCGGTAGAGGGGCCAGTCAAGGCAGGAATCCAGCCAAAGCCCTTTCCCACATACTCACCGGCTGCTGCAGAGGAAGAGCAGGTTCTGCACAGCAGGGACAGTGGAGTTGGCATTCTGTCCGGTGACCAGGTGGCGATCCAGCACAACATGCACAGCATCTGGCTCGCTGGCTAAGAGGACCAAGGGTACAGGCCTTAGGTGCTGCCTACCCCAAACTCACTCTTGCCACTGAGGGGTTGTGAGCACCAGAGTCCAGTGGTCATCTGCAGGTCAGCCTGCCTGGGGCTGAGCCACCAGCCACAGGAGTCTACAGGCACACAACCTGGGGCTGGCCTGGCTGGCTGCTCCCCAGGATGCAGCAAGTTACCCCACCCATCTCCTGTGGACGTGGGGTGCCCACCCAGCTCACCACTGAAGCCAGCACCCGAGTCCTTCACGAAGTCCTCTACCACCAGTGGCAAGCGGGCGAAGCCAGGAGCCCTGACGAGCTCATACACAGAGGGCTGCGGGGGCAGGGGGCTGAGTTAGACCCACAGCCCCCAACCACTCTTTTCCTATCTGGTCACCACCCTATTCAAAAGGTTGACCCTCAGGGTCAGGCAGGTCAAACCACAGTGCATCAGACGAGACCCTCACCCATCGCACAGTGGTGAGGAAGCAAGATGAGGTGGGGGCTGCTGCTGAGGCAGATGGCCAGAGACCAGGGCAAGGACAGCCACCCTGCCCCATGGGGTGGCCCTGGGAGACAAACCCACTGCAGCTAGAAGGCCTGACTTTCCCGACAGAATGATGAGCTGGCAGCCTTGGGGTGAGCCCCTTACTGGGCTCCCATAAAGCCCACACATGAGGGTCTGACCCCAAAAGGCCCCAGTCCACCCCCACCCTTATTTCCCCGTGCTCAGTTCAGAAAAGACAGAGGGACAGCAGTCATAGCGCCCACAGGAATCTGACTGAGGATACTGGCTGTCCCTGGGGCACTCACCCCTGTAAGGCTGTAGCCGTGGAACACCCAGGACCTGTCCTCACTGGTGGCACAGCACAGGGCAGCAACACCATGGCCGATGGCACAGATGGGCTCTGTAAACAGTAAGGCCGCCCAAGGCCCTGGATGCTGGCCTGGGCTTCCATCCCCTCCCGGGAGCTCCCCTAGGCACTGGCCACCTGGCCACCGCCCAGAGCATCCTTCAGGACTAGGTTTGGCCTCAGGCTTGGGGGCTGAGGTACATGCACAGGCAAGGTCCCCAGGGAGTCCCAGGTCCATTACTGCCTGCAGATGGCCCTGCCTGCAGAGGAAGCCCTGTGAGGTGGGGAAGATACTCCCAGGTGGTGCCCCTGCCCTGTAATGGGATCGCCCAGACCCTCCCCAAGGGCTCCTGGCACTGGTGTGGTACCAAGGCGGAAAAACCCACGGCCTGTTCAGGTCCAGGAACTGGGTGGAACCTGAGCTGTCTGCCTGCTGGTCCCTAAGGTGCCTGCTCCAGCCACTGACATGCCCTTCATAATGCCCCCATCCCCACCCACCCCCTTGGGAGCCCACAGGGAAGGGACCAAAGAGCATAGTGTTTGGGGGATCACTCCCTCAGTGTGAAGAGTAGAGCACACATCCACTGGCCTGTCACAACTGCCAGGCTTTCCACACCTGCCAACTGGCTGGAGAAATGACCACACCCCACCCAGCATCTGCCCACCCATCCTCCAGTTTCTTGTCACCTACTGCTCTCAGAGTGGAAGTGCTGCAGGATTCGGGCCAGAGACCCACTGCTGGCCAGGTCAGCCAGGGCCCCAGGACAGCTGGGGATCAGGAGGGCGTGGTACCGGGCACCTGTGGGGAGACACTGGCCAGGAGGCCATGTATCAGTCACAAGGGTGTGGCCAGGGAAGACTCTCCACCAGGACCCACGGCTCCTCTCTGCCACACAGGCCAGATGACACCACTTGTAGCTCCCCTACACAGACCACAGGCTGGGGCCCCAGGCAGACTCCCAAGGGCCAAGCCTGACTTTTCTTCTCCACATACCACCCCTTCCCCAGAGGAGCTCGGGAATCCTGGAGCCCTGATGTGGACTGGAAACTCCCCTGGACAGTCACAGCACTTCAGGGTCAGCCACAGGGTGGACCCAGGGGCAAAGCAGGGAAAGGCACTGAGACCCCAAACCACCTGAACCCCGAACCCTTAAGCACACCACCCGGGGCAGGGGGAACATGTCAGCCCAGCAGGGAGTGGTCTCGGCCCACCGTCAATGGACTCGAGCTTGGCAGGGCTGGCGTAGGCCTTGAGGCGGAAGTCCTGCACCCAGCGTGCATTGCTCTCAGTCACGTCCACGAAGTCTATAGCCTTCCCCTGTAGGAACAGAGCCCAAAGGCTGAAGGTCGGCACGGGCGCGGGGATCATCCCACTGATGGCTCACAGGGAGTCTAGCACACTGACCACTGTAGACCCTCAGGGTACACAGGCACCTGATCATGTAGTCAGCTTCACTGGCTGCCCTGGGCATGGTCGCCCATGGAGGACCCTGTCCCACCAGCAGCCACACAGATGGGTCAGGCGCCAGAAAAACAACTGAGGAAAGACCACAGAACCAGACTCAGTGTGGTAGCCAGGGCAGTCCCACACCTGAGCTGACGCACCTGGAGGTCTCTACCGTAGCCCACCACATCCTACTCCCTCTTGGGCCCCACCACTAGCAGGTAGGGAATTCCTCCTAGAGGACACGTCTGTGCATGTCCCTTCACAAAGACCGACCCTCCTCGCTCAAGAGTCCCCGCACCAGGACCAAACCTCTCTCAATTGAAGATGTGTAAAAAGAGACCACAAGGAAAAATTCTCCCTCACCTCTGTGGCTTCAGAGCCCAGGAAATGGGCACTAGGACTTGGAGGAAGCCACCAGATTTTGTTGCAGACCCCTCACCCCAAGCCAGCTCCCTCTGGGTCACACTAACTGCAGAGGGCTCACCACTCCTAAGAAGCAGTGGCACTTTGTGGCCTCACCCAAGAGAGGCAGGGACCTCATGTATCCACTGGAGGCGGATGGCTGAACTTACCCCAGGAGTGGCCACCTGCAGGTTGAAGGCAGCACTGGCCAGCGTGAAGCAGTGGAGGAAGGACTGAGCTGACACTCCTGCAGGAGAACAGTTCTGCTAGGTACCTCCACCCCAACCCCCACCCCAGGAGGCTGCCCAGGTATTCCTCTCCTGGTCCTGGAACCGCCCTGAGGAGTATCCCTTCTCTCCCACTCCAAGGCCCAGCTCTTACAGCCCTTGGACAGGACAGCAGCCCTTCAAGTCCAGGAAGCTGAAGCTCAGACGATGGGATCAGAGGCGTACGGCCAGGTCTGTGCTCTGCCAGCCCTGACCAGAGACCTGCCAGCTGACCAGCAGCTCAGCATTGCCCTGGGGCCTGCTCTCCCTGAAGCTGGCCACCTCAACCTCGACCCTCAGGCCCCAACTAAATTGGGGGCAGGAAATAGCCCACCTCAACTGCCCACACCCTCCTCTTCTCTCACACAGCCACTACAGGCCTTTCCAAGGGAAAACCCAAGTATGGGTTCCCTTTTACTCAACTCTTTCCCTGCAGAACCACCAGGGTCCAAGGCACCCTGGCTAGAGAGACAGTGAGCAAAGCTTGCTCCCATGGAGGTGTGGCTGCAGCAAGAGGCAAAGGGACAGTGTTGGGTATCCTGGCCTGAGGAAGGACACTCCAGGCCCAGGGTCCCTTCCTCCACTGAGCTCTGGGCTTCTGCCTGCCAAAGGACCTTTCCAAAAGGAACAAGGCTGGGCTGCTGGGGGGGTGGGGGAAGGAGCAAGGCCTGCGAGGTAGAGAAGCCTCTAGGACCACGGGGAAGAACATTCCAGGGAATGCAGACCCACATCACCTTCTAAGGTGCTAATGCCTTCTCCTCTTCCCTTTTCCTCCCTCCCTCTTTTCCTTTGGTGCTAGGGGTGTTTTTACCACCGACCTACACTCCCAGCCTTCTTTATTTTTTATATGAGACACGGCCTGCTGGCTAAGTTGCCCAGGCAGACAGCGAACTTGCAATCCTCCTGCCTCAGGCTCCTGAGTCGCTGGGATTAAAGACCTGTCGCAGCCCAGCTACAGTGCTGTGACTTGTACATTCCTTCAACCCGGGACCCAATCCCTGAACCTCATTTTCTTCCTTATGCACTCTTGTTAGTTAACACACATTGACTGCAAAATGTCCACGTAGCAAAGACAGCCAACCTCCTCAAACCACTCCCAGCTTCTGCCCACGCCGTTCTTCCTACTCTTACTGCCTACCCGTCCCGTCCACGGCCCACCGAGCCCGCTGGACTTTCCAGAGCCGTCCAGGCCCACGTCCTCAACTCCCTTCCTGGACCACAGCAGGCCTGGCGCTCAGACCAGAGCCTCTGGAGATTCTCAACCCACACCTTCTGGGCTCCTCCAGCCTCCTTCGGGGGTGCCTCACTTGGGCTCCGGAGCTCAGCAGGCCCCGATCCCCCCACCTCCGTGACGGTCCCCTAGCCCCCGTAACGTGACCTTGGGCTGGTCACTTCCTAGAGGACCCACGAAGGAATCGCGCGCTCGGCCCTCCCCCGCCGGGCACTTGGGTGCCTGCCGGGGACCCAGGGCGCGGGCAGCGGAACCCCTGTCTGGGCGAATCCCTGCGGTTCTGCCCAGCCGAGCAGCCTCGGCGCGGAGCACGTCCTACGCGAGCGCGAGGCCGAGCCCGGACCCGGGGCACGCGAGGGCCGGCGCCACCTTCCCCGCCGCAGCCCGCTGCAGACACCCAGGCCCGCGTGAGGTCCCGAGGGTCCCAGTCCCGAGTGTCGCGCCCGTGCCACGCACC